TTAGTGTCGGTCCACAATAAGTGATTTAAGCTTTAAAAAGTAAGAAATTGACCAATTATAATCGAATATGAAAAGAATACTCGACTATGATTAGTCAATTTCTTACGGCTTAAAGATTAAATACTTATTGTGGACCGACACTTAGGCGTCTTTTAGACATGCGTGCTGTTTGGGAAAATTTGATCTACTTTTCTTTAATATTATTAACATTTCCTCTATTACATCAAAGTTACTATCAGATTCACTGCTACTTGATTCCATTATATATGCAATATTATTAATTATATAAACTTTTTCCATTTTCTTATATTATTATATGACAGCGTCATATGCAGTTATACGAAGATACGCAGTACTGTTCAATTCCGTTCCGTTTTCACAATTTCACAGTACAGCGATAGTAGCAGTACTGCCAGCATGACGTCATTATAGTGTGCTATACAAGCGTTCCGTTTTTACTAGTTCAGTAAGTTACGGAACACAACCAGTATCGTCAACGCAAGCGACGATTGACGATAACGACATTGTCGTTACGAAGTTAGAGAATAGGCATACAGCAGTAGCAGGATTCTGTAACTCGTTATATTTTTAACGACACAGAACGGTATGATAATAATATCGACTTTTGTCGTATGTAATGCGAAATCGGCTATGCGATTCTGTAACTCATCATAACGATATTTAACGTTACAAAACGTGATATCAAAACGTCCTTATTTAACGTTGTGATTGCAAACCAATAGAAAGTCATATACGTATCTCTTGTGCAACGACCTTAAAGAAAAGTTTGTTTAGTTTTGTTAAAGTGATGAGTCGCCTTCGGGCCGTTGAGTGGATGGGATGAGTTTTATCCCTACAGTAATTTTTATTACGTCATCACGCATTCTCGGTTTTTGCTCATCACGCATTTTTTTTTATCTTTGTTCATTACAACTTTCTTTTGGATTAATTATTTTTCGCATTGAATCGTGGCCTGTGTTGGTTGTTTGAAAGCCATTTTCCAGGAGTATCAATATCAATATCGTTAAAGTGATGTGCAAGTTTGCAATAGAAATCCGTATTACAGTAAGTATGCAAGATTTTGATAAAAGAATTTAGTAAAATATATCATGTTACTTTGTCGTGATGTAATATTGTAATTACTACTATTGGACTTGTATAAATAAGTTGCTAATAACATTATAAAAGGTTAAATGTCCGTTTGTTTATTTCTATTTGCAATTTATATATACTTATTTCGAGTATGTAGTTTTTTTCAGAAATTTTTTCAGAAAAGGAGAGAAAAAAAGATAAGCAAAGACAACATTAGCACAAGTGGATTATATAATCGATTATCTCGTTCAATATCCACATGCAATGGGAAAGTTTAAAAGTCTCTATGATAATGCAGATTTAAGAGGATCTTGGCAATTAGTGAAAGAGCTTAATAGGCAGAATATGACAAAAGATGGAAAAATCAAAGACGTGAAATCGTGGAAAGCGGTGAGCAAAATAAATTTTTTTAAATACAACAGTAGTGTGTGATGTACAATACTAACGTTGTATTTTAGGAATAATTGGTTCAAAATTTCTTTTAAACATGGCGAGACAACAAAACCGCGATCTCTAAAAAAATAGCAAAAATTCGAGCCAGTCAAGCTGCAACAGGAAACATTGGTGGTTCTTCTGAAATTAACTGAACGAGAACAAAAAATCTTAGGAATCATGGGATTCGATTACATCGAAGGAGTGCAATATCCTGATGCCTTCCCGGAGAAACAAGTAATAACAATTTATTATATAGTTTTTTTTATTTTAAGATACCTAAAAATAATATTGAATACTGGATAACACATTGTTTGATTCTCAAATATCGATTTCAGCCAGAAGCAATGGAGTTGCTTCATCAGGAACAAGAAGATATTTTAGAGGCTGTTCCTATCACAATCACGATACAAAATTCGAACGACAGCGATACAATTAATCTTACTGATTAGTATACTAAATTTGGTTACTATGTTAATATGCTAAATTTTGTTTAACATATACACTGCGTATATCATCATGAATTATAATATGAAGGTGTTTATTAGTATTATTAATATTATTAGTATATTATTAGTATTATTTTGGAAATGACTTAATTAGCAGCATTGGTTACATTGTTTTATTTTAGATTCTGAAATAATATCGCATTCAGAAATTTCAGAAGAAGAAATTAATATTTCTGAATTAATATTTCTGAAGCAGGTAAATGTAGAGATAAGAGAATCACCGATAAAAGAATCACAAATGGGAAAAGCACAAACAGGAGAATCACACGCGACAATTTCGCAAACTTCTAACAGAATACAGAAATCTGCTAAAATCACAAGGCAGGATAAGTACTACTATCAATATTTATTTTCTTATAATATAAGAACTAAGTCTTGTCATCTATACAAAATTTATTTATAAAACCGTGAAAGATTGTAAAGGAAAAATAAAAAATAAAGCTATAGGACGCAAGAATATTACCGCATGTCATTTTTCGCTTATGACATCACAAAACCGATGTGGCGCGATAAGAGAATCGAGCCTTAAATGAAACACATTATTATTGTTAAATGTTTTGAATATATTCTTTTGTTATTTTTGTACAGATGTTCGCGAAAATAATGAAGAAAATAGCTGATCAAGAATGAAATGCAATACTGTGTTCTTTGATAGAAAATGAAAAGGCTTGAGAAAAAACTTACCTAGACTTGTCTCTGATCATAAAAGACTGTGTTGAAGTTTTAAAAGAAAAGTAAGCGAAGTATTATTATGTGATATTTTGTTTTAAGATTTAAAAAAATGTTATAAAAGTGTCAAAGCTGTTTTGTTATTCTATAGAAGTGACATTTTTTTATTTTATATGTATCATTTTTCTACAAAAATAAAGATTTTTATTTTATGGCATTGTTGAATTATTTTGTTTACAAATTAAGTTTTCTTTATTTTGGTATGTTGCACTGTCAGAAGTATTTCTACTCTGATACTTATCATTTTTATAGTATTATTTAAAGTATTATTATGTTTATGAACTGTCAAAAATATTACCCAAAAAGTAAAAAAAATACAATGACTAAAACATTATTCTTGTTATTATTTTTATTATTCACGCACACACGTGTACACACATCGTTCTTCATCGTTCTTCATCTTCATCTTCACGGAAATTGGGAATTCTTTCTCGCATAATTTGTCGCTGAATTCTCCGAGTCAAAACACGTGATCCTCTTTGAACTACATCTTCATCGACATTTATGAGATCAGCATTTTCATTTTGATAATGATGAGCTATTGGTTCTTGGAATTCCTCTAAAGATAAACGGTGTTAAACTCTCATATTATGAAATACTGCACAAGAATTTACTATTCGGCAGCAAATGCTGGTTCATGCTGGTACATTAACATACGTTGATAGGAAAAGCATCTCCATATGGATTTAAAGACACTAAAGAAACGCTCAACAACATTTCTTACTTTGCATAGCTGCTCCGTGTTCAAATTGTCGGTGCCTTGGGGAAAAGCCAAAGGTATCATCAATCATGGTTCCAATGGATATCCAGCATCACCTGGCAAGAAATATCAATAATATAAATATTTTCGTTTAGATTGCAATGTATTTCAAAGTGCAAATGTTTTCATTCCACAAGACCCACCAATTAGCTAAGTTCTCCGTTCTCCTCTGTTGTAATGAAATTACACCAATCACGACGAATTGGGGATATGCTCCAGATGTATGCGTTTTGTGCACCTGAATATCTCGGATTAATGTTTCCAGAAAGCACTTTCATATCTGAGTCAACAATTTGAAAATATTATACATCCAAATCAATACATACATCTAAACAAAAGTTTAGCGACAAAACCGCAATATATAACAATATATTTAATAAACATTTGTATTTACAACTTGCACGTTCAGAGAATAATCACCATGATGATTAATGAAGGCCTCTTCATGTTCACGAGGGACTATAATATGAACAAAAGTGCAATCTATGGCATCTTTAAATCGTTGTTCAGCAACTGAAAACTTTTCACGTGCTCGCTGCCGATCCTCTTCGGAATTGGGAATTTCACCCATCTACGCAACAAGCGCTAATTGATTGCATCAGTCACGGCATGGATGCTACGACTTGTTGTCTGGCTAACATTAAATTGAAATTGATTGCCAACACTTCTTTGATAGCTTCCTTGAGCATAAAATTGTATAGCAATCAACACTTAAAATATTGCATTTTAATAAAATTCGACATCAAGAAAATTACATTTCAATAAATTTATATCTTAAACATTCTGTTCAGTGTTTTTCAATAGATATTTTGTAATTTAAATTAATTAAGTACGTAAAAATTAATGTAAAGTTCGACATTGGAAAGCATTACAATGATTTATTTCAACGTTGCCTTTATTTCTGACACTAAACCGGTAATTCGTTCGCTCTATAAATCAGCTTGTATCGCATTTGTCAATAACAAGTTCTGGACTAAGGCGAAAATAGTTGATAAATTCATCTCGTGGAAGATGAAAAGAATTCTGAATCTCTCAGCCACCTTCTCTCTATACGCCGTTCTATCCTGTCTTGCAGCAACAACTCTCATACTAAATATTCGAAGGCCATATTCACTGTAAATTATAATCTTTATTTAAAAATATGTCAGAATATCTATGGCTACGGTCAACGTAACGCTACAAATCGCTTCAAAACATTTGTAGTAAGCCAGTTATAGTAAAACAATTATTATTTATTACAACTGAAAAGAACAGACCTTTACACACATCATGATCTATTGTGATAAAATATAATAAAGAAAATACTTATATACTTCTAATTCTCATACAGTTTTGAAAAAGATCGTAAGTAGTAATTAAAACATGACGATTTTTGTAACGAGAAATAAAAATTTAATTGGAATATAAAAAGAATGAATCAATTTTATTTCGACAAGACATTACGTTCAATAGTTATAAAATATTAAGATATAGGTACATTTTAAA